TTTTTACTGTCTCTGGTCTACTAGGTCTACTTAGTTAAACATGGGAAAGTATATGGACCAATTTCTAAATTATCTTTGTTAGAAGGTTCTCATGTATTCAGAAAAACAACATTAGGTTGGATCTTCTTTGCCTTTAAGTTAATCTTGGAAGTTGATTTTGAAAGAGGAGCTTGAAGCTGATATATTCCAACTTGCTTGATACTAAACAACTGGAACACATACACAGCCAGACCAGAGAAAGTCATCCAGTGACTGTCAAACTCTCAGTCTTAGTCTGCACTATAGTGTGGACTTGTTTTCAAGTCATTTTCTCAAGTCAGTTTACTCCAACTCTGTCTTCTACTTTTGGGGTTTGTGCTTTCATCTCAGTAATCGACTGTGACCATGAGTTCAGGATATTGGCCTAGATGGACTGAATGTGTATGAAGAATTCATACACTTTTGTCATATGCTAAGAATTTGAGCTGTTCACCTTTAATATAATGGGGTTTGGGTTGGGTTTGGGTTTTTTTTTTTGGTTTTGTGGGATTTCTTAGGTGAATATCTCTGAATGTCAGGGGTTAAATGGCTATAGACTTTTTCTATGAGCTCGAATTTATACCAAGAGGGGAGATTTTTTTCTTAGTGCTGTGGTTATTTGGGTACACAAATGTTCCTGATAAAAAGTAAAGACTTGCGTTCTTAAGTACTTTGAAAATGGAATTTAGTAGGATTCAAAGATAACCAGTGAAGTTCTCATTGGTTTTATACAGTGCCAGGGCAAAATTATATATTCCATTTCAATTAATTTTAATAAACAGGCTTCCAAACTTCACCAGTCTGGGAGGAGGGTTTTGTTATTATGAGCTTGGAGTTGTCCACAATACATTTTAATACTATATTGTTTTCACATTCCTTTATTCCTTCATTCAGTAGTACACTTATGCTCTAAAAATGTCTCACTAAATTTCTTGATATTTTTTGGAGCTTTTAAAAGGTGTCTAAGAATGCAATCACTATTATGTATGAATCCATTTTTTTCTGTTTAACATTTTCAGTTTTACTTCGCTTCCATTAATTCTCTTTAATGTTTTTTTCATTGCTGTCTCTGATGGAAAAACAATATTTGACTCTGCCTTAATTAGTAATTTCTTAGAAAAGACACTGATATGTGCTAAGTTTTCTAATAATAAAATCGATCTAAAGATACAATTAATATTTTATTGAGAAATTATGGTTCTTAATAGATTCAGATGATGTATACATCCATTTATAGGCTATTCTAGTGTTAGGTATATAAAAAAATATTTTGGTATAGTTTAGTTGTCTTTGTAATGAAGTGTACATCCAAGATTCTAGCCAAGAAACAATTATTGCCAAGTGTCTTATTCTCATAATTTTCAGAGATTATGTAAATTTCTTTGCTGTAGCAGCTACAGGGCAGGGATAAAAAATTACTATGAAGTCCTTTGAGTAACACCGCAAAATCAGCTTGCTACTAACAGAATACTTGCTATATGATATTGTAATTGCAGTGTAATATTTAGAGGTTGTGTGCCTCTCAAGGGTCATGTTGACTGTATGTTCCTGCTTTCTGTCCAGTGTCTGGACTGTCCTGATGCGTGGGTTTATTTCAGACGTTGGAATTAGCGTTTGCCTTTGTTGAACTGAATGAGGTTTCTGTCAGCCCATTTTTCCCAGCTGAATCTCTCTGAACAGCAGTTCCAGCCTCCAGTATATCAATAGATCCCCCAGTTTGGAATAATCTGTGAATTTGCTGAGAATGTACTCTGTTCCTCCCATCCAAACCACTTATAAGGACATTTAACAGTATTGGCCCCTGCACTGACCCTTGAGGGATGCCACTTTCCACAGGCCACCAGTGGGAATTGGCATATCGGTGACAACCCTTTGGCCTGGCAGTCAGAAGTCCATTTACCCAGCCTTTATTTTACCGGTTTGGCTATAAAGGATACTGTGGCCTGTGCTGAAGGCCTTGCTGAAGTCAAGATGCACAACAGATGCTTTTCTCCCCTTATCCATAGATCCAGTAATTCCATCATAGAAAACTGACATCTTAGGGAGGAATTCTTTGCCCTTGATAGACTCACACTGGCTGCTTGCTGTGACTTTTTCATCCTTCATGTTCTTGGACAGGGCTTCAAAGAGGATTTGGTGCATAACCTTCCCAGGGACTCAGGTGGACCCAGCTGGCCTGTAGTTTCTTGGATCTTCCATTTCCTGAAAATGGATGTGACGTTTCCTGTCTTCCAGTCATTAGGAATCTCCTCTGATTGTCATGAACTTTCAAAACTGAGCAAGGCCTCTTGGTGACAAGAGCCAGTTTTCTTAACTGCTGGATGCACCCTGTCTCACCCCATTTCCTCAGGTTTCCCCTGACATTAGCTGCTTCTGCCATGGGTATTGCTTCATTCCCAGACTCTGCCCATAGGCGCCAAGCAAGGCACCTGGGAAGCCTTCAGACAAGCCTCAGCAGTAACAACTGAGGCAAAAAAGTAAGGGAGTGCCTTTCCTCTGAAGATCAACCAGCTCTCCTGGGCCCCTTTTTAATCCTATCCATTATTCCACAACCCTACAGGGCTGTATTCCATGAGATCCTGTTAAGCAGATTCCTAAACAAGCCAAAATCTGCTATCACGTTCAGGTTTTTTTCTGCTACGGTTTGTCCAATTTTCTTCTCTCGGGATTTTGAACTTCTCATTTTCGTGGTTGCAGTAACCAAAGCCAGTCTAGTTCTTCCCATTCCTTGACCCATTGAAAAACATATTTCCCAGACCACTTGTCAGTCAGCTGGATCAAGAAATTGTCTCCAACATACTCTGGAAGTCCCTAGATTTTTCGTGCCTGGCCATATTGTTCTTCCAGCAGGCATCACAGTGGTTAAAGTCTCTCATGAGTAACCAGAATAAGCAATAGTAAGGCTTCCTTCAGCTGCCCAAATGTTTCATTTACCTTCTTTATTTAATCAAGCAGTCAGTAGCAGATACCTACCACAATGTAATCCTCATAGGTCTAGCCTCTAATCCTTAAAATAAGATCTTGATCGGCTTGTCACCCATTCCAAGGCAAAGCTCCACGTGTTCAGGCATAACTTTGCTTAGGGTGCCTAAGCATCGTCACCTTTCTGGGCTGTCATTCCTAAATATTCTGGTACCATTCATTGCACCCCTCTGGTTGTGTGTGCTAACCCTTTGCATCTCTGGAGTCCCAATGGAATCACAGCTCTGCATCTGTGCAGGGACTTTGGTCCCTGCTGGATGATTCCTATGCAACAAGTGTTTGTGTTCAGACACTTGGGACAGACCCTTGGTTGTGCTGCTTTCATGTGGAAAGTTTCAGAGTTCTCCCTCATCATGCTATTCTCCTCAGTGCTTTCTCACCACTCCCTGTGCCTTCAGTCCTCTTCAGGTTATGGTTATCTTCCATCAACATACCTATTTTCACTGATATCTCCTCTCTCAAATCCTTTGTTTGTAGGAATGTATTTCAAGAGCACAAACTGCCCTCTTTAGAGTTAGTTGATTGGTATTGAATTACCAGCTATCTGGATTGTCCTTTGGCCTGATAACTGAAGTAGTGACAACGTGACCACAGCGTGGCAAAAGGTACACACTCAACTACTACATTTTCATGTACAAGTGCTGAGTTTTTGCCTTTCTATTATATTGACATTTACTGTGAAA